TTTTTTCAAGAGGGAAACACCGATATAGCTAAGGGAGCCAAGATGGCGGATTAGAGCGAGAACGCTGTCAATATCCAACACCTTGTATTATTCCACCATGATGCAGCCAATGTTGAAAAGAAAAAAATCCCTCTCATCGGATGATATAGCATCGGATATTTCTTTAAGTACCGTAACTCTTCTTACAGTTTTTATTTCAAAGCCTATGCGTTTGTTTTTGTTTGAGTATATTGGGTTTTGATAGCCGCATAACATTAGAATGGAGATAATTCATCATAGACCGAAGGAAATTAAACTTCGTTGCAGGCATTTCTTGACTATCAACTTAGTATTTTTACCCAAGGAAGACCATTCCTATAAATATGACCATTGTCACTACCGTTAGGACTACCGTTAGAACTACCATAATCATCATCACTAGAATTAACATTAGCTTCTACCTTTGCCGTTACCATTTTCATTTTATTAAATTGCAATAACCAATGCCATTACAGGTACCACTATCAGTTTTTTTTTCTCTTGTTAAGTAAAAAATTGTCTATCGATAGCGATAACAAAATATTAATATATGCTCCAATTTTACCTTGAAAAGTTACACCAAATTTAAAAATAAAGAAATTTATCGTCACCTGAAATGCAAAATAACCAAAGAACGCTTCATTTCCTACGACTCCACTGCATCCCGGTTTTAATGTGAGGTATACCCGGTGCCTTTAAGCCACACTTGGCCACCTCATAGGCACGAGTGCCAAAGCTTTCAAAAGCTCTCTGTACAATTTATATAGGGTAGGTTCAAAACGAAAGCTTTCGCTGGCCAACTCTACTTTAAGCGATAAGAGTATTAAAAGCTGAAGGTAATCCCACACCAGCTTTGAGATGACCTCGTGCGCTTTAAGGGCGAAGAGCGCCGCTTTGCATGTAGATGTATTATTATATATATAATTCAATCGCGTGTATCTCGGCCTGAAAGACGGAGCTACCTTGGCTCATGCTGGTGAAAAGGAACCGATGCTGTAGCCAGTCTTCGAGCCATCAGTATACCAGAAGTGGCAGTCCTTCCGGTGTTTAGGTCGTTCGTTGTGTTTGCGGGGGAAAAGGTTCTTGAAGGTTTGTTTAAAGTTATATCTGGAAGGCAGCGGTCCCTAAAGCTAATGCGCAGTCCGTTGTCTTTATCAATGACACTGAGGGTGGAAGGGCACCTCGAGAGCTGGGGTTAGTATTGATCTCATCGCACCAGTGATGCCAGTGATGTAGGCCAGTCTTTGCACTTGGCTGCATCCACCATGGCAGTTAAGGTCTGATGCCCCCGTTCCGCTTCCTTTAGTTTCCGGCAGGTCGCGATAGAGGCCCTGGGTTTTTGAATAGCGCTACCTTGAATCGGATTCCATGAGAATCTTTAGAGAAGTGTATCTTTTCTCCTTGAAGGAATGCTTTTAGTAATTTTTCCCCTTTTCTTTGTTTTTTTTGGAAATGGATATATGTATGCTGGCTAACCCATTATTACTGCACCATTTGGCGACTATGTTCAGAGCATTCTGTACGAGGTTGGAGATGATGTCTGCGAACCTAACTCGGTTAAAAATGGCAATGTCGTTCTCGTAGCCCTGAACGTCCAAGCCATTTTCAATAAGAAGGCAGAGTAGTTCGTCTACTACGATGGACCCTGCGTGCAAACTCGGACTCTGTCACTGGGGCATACATACATACGCTAAATAATTCTAGGTCGACATCAATCCATTGCAAGAGTTGCACCTAACCGAAGTAGAGTTCGAGCAAGTCCTGGCATACGCAGCAAAAATAGTCGTCATTTGTCCAAGGACGTTATTTTCTATGCCTGATAACCGTGTTTATCGTACGAAGAAGAAGAAGAATGCATAGAAACTTTAAAGTTTTTATTTTTCGAATTTATTTTTAAAAACACACATATACAATACTTGTGCTTGCAATGTATAGCTGATTTCGGCAATCAAAATTACTAATTTTAACTATTCTTTCTAAATATTATTGTCATCAAGCGATTAATTAGTTATTAAATAAAGGATGTTGCAACTATCTCAAACGAATATGTATTACAATGACCAAAATTTGTAATCAAACAATGGTTGACTTCACACTTTTATTGCTGATCAATAAATTAGCGAAAGTCGAATCTTTCATATACATACATTAGATATACATACATAAAAACTCACTAAATATGTGAGTGAGTAAAAATTTTGGCATAATCACAAAATATAAACTTATTTAATTTTTAGTCACAATAAATCAACATTTACAATATATTTCGCTTTGATTCGTTAATTGCTCGTGGAATATCTTCACTTGGTTTTTATTTTTTATTTATTTTTTTCACATTTAAATTCTACAGCAAGAGAAACAGTAACTTAAAGTTAAAAATTAAAAGAATAAAATAATAACTTAAAATTTGAAATATTTTAACATTAAATATGGTTGGGATTGTTGGATATGTGCTTATTTATGTGGCTGTGTGTGTGTGTATACGAGTATGTATGTAGAACTGAGAGTGCGTGTGGCCTTATTTAAGTTGTATGTGTGTGTGTGTGTGTGTGTGTGTGTGTGTGTGTGTGTGTGTGTGTGTGTGTGTGTGTGTGTG